ACGATATTTCTAATTACTTTGGACAAATGTGGTGCGAAATCGCCTTTTGAAATTAGCAAAATTCTTTGCCGTGTACCAAGAGTGTAACATTGTCTCTACGCGGACGATGTATACATTTTTACAAAAGAAAAAGATAGCACGAAGGCAATTAACATCCTCGAATCTATTGGACGAGAAATCTATGCATGGGCAAACTTGTCAGGAGCTAAAATTTCCATACAAAAATCTAAAAAAATGCACAGATGTCGAAAGCAGGTATGCAATGCAGGAAATCTACTGATGCATATTAATGACTTACCAGTACTAAACGTGCAGACGCATATTCTCGGGCTCACGTTTTCCAACAAATATCGTTGGAAAGCACACTATCTTCGGTTAAAAACTTGTATTTTAACAAGGGTGAATTTCATACAGTACGTTGCTTGGAGAAGCCATGCGCATATTAACACTATTGTTTATCTTACCAAAATGCTTGTGTTAAGCAAGATTGACTATGCTTTGATAATTTATGGCATTAGCTGCAAATCTAATATCAACATCCTTAAACCGGTCTATCACCAAGCCGTCAGAGCAAGCTTTTATGCTTTTCGAACCACACCCATAAATAATATTATAATTGAAACTGGTCTCCCAACTTTAGAAAATACACTTTATGAGTTAAAAGCCAAAATAGTCCCCAAGCTTCTTAATTCAAACAAATCTATTCTCGGTGATGACGTGAGAAAGATTATTATTGCGAAGAAAATTCCAAAGTCATCATCTGCAATTGACTATTGTTTGTACGTCGCAAAGGAATTGAACATTCCCTTAAAAATTTTCCGCTCTTTTGGTGTTAAACGTCCATGGATTTTAAAAGACTGCTCTTTTGACATCTCGCTGTCTATGCACAAGAAAGAAGATACTCCAAATTACGTCTTCAGGAATCTAATAGCTGAAAAAACTTAAGTATTGGAGAGTATTGGTTGGAATCTTTTATACACAGACGGCTCATAATCTTCTAGTCTGCCTTCTGCTTGTGCCGTGGTAGATGCTACAGGACAGGTTCTTCTCAATCACATATTTCACGAAAGTACTTCAACTTTCACAACCGAAGCCAGAGCTATCCTTAACGCTGCGAGCCTTGCCCATAAAAACAACACTCAAAACGGTCATTGTTACCGACAATTTTTCTGTATTACAAGCTGTTCGGAATCCTTCGACTTCGAGATGGATCACCATCAACACATTAAGGAATATAATTACAACACCCGAAGAAAAAATTAAAATATTATGGGTACCAAGTCACATCTGTTTATTGGCAAATGAGCAGGCTGATCGAGCGGCAAAGTATGCTGCCTCTACTCTTGCAGAGGCAGCAGAAGGAAATTTACAATACCATCATCAGCACTACTCTTCCATT